ATTATTATTATTATTATTATTATTATTATTATATTTTTATGTAGTTTTTGGTGTATTACATATTGTCTTTTAACCCGTACATTACGTGACAGTTTATACCCCTTCTCCCTCCCTCCCCCCTCCCCCCTCTGCTGTTCCCATGCGTTAGTCCTTTGTTCGCAGCCACGGGCACAGAGTCCAAATCTTGCATTGAATGTCTTTTCTCCCTTCTGATGGTAACCACTCTAGGTATGTCTTCCATTTCTTCCTGATTTCTGTGGTCTTGTCTTCCCATGTGGTCTTCCGGTTAAGCTTCTCAATTATATCCGACTGTATGAAATCAAACAAATAATTATGCCAGATTTCTACTGTCCACTTACTCTTGTCCTTCCAGCCTAGAGCAATCACTGCTTTGCTTGCTCTATCCTAAGCAAAGTTGCATCTTCCCCATTGAATTTAGTGAACTTAAAAGGCTATATTTCCGCTTAGGGTGGCAATATAAGAGGTGTACTGAGAAAGTAGCTGGCATTTTTGTTTAACTTGCAGTCGTTACGCTTCATCCATACTGTACAGCCTGTTCTGAGATATTGATAGCTACAAGGTTATGCTATGTCCCTGTTGGATCCCATAAATTATTATACCCTTCTGGTTCACCTTGTTGAGACCTGATGGGGGCATGTGTACGGTGTTGTGGAGTTCCAGTTCTTACTGATGCACAGCTTCAAGAAGGTGGTGTGAGGATACTGCTACTTTTTAAGTCCCTCCCTCCAATAAAGGCAGAAAGAAACCTTGATGCATTTTTTCTGTGTAAGCAGAAATTGAGCAAGTGATTGGATTGGAGCTGAATGGGACGGAGCAGGAACCAAAGTACTCTTGGCCCTTGGCCTTTTGCTTTGGGGAACTGGCCCATTCGATTCTGAATCAGTCTGAGTCCAAGATACAGTTTGCTCTTCTTGGAGTCCCCCCAAGCAATATGAAAATTTTGATTGTATTTTTACTTCTTGTAAGTTGTTTTAGATCCCAGGGAGAAAAGCGGCCAATAAATATACTGACTTTGCTGTGTCCATTGCCTTGTGGGTTGTCCCATGGTTCCGGTGTTTTTTTAAACATCAACATAAAGTTTTGGAGGGAGATTACCTGCTGATTTATAGAATCATAGAATGTTAAGAGTTGGAAGGCACCTTGCAGGTCATCTAGTCCAACCCCCTGCACTCTGCAGGAGCATAGCCGAAAGATAGCCCTACAACATACCTGAAAGATGGTTGTCCAGCCTCCGCTTGAAAATGTCCAGCGAAGGAGCATCCACCACCTCCCGAGGCAATCTGTTCCACTGCTCAACCACTCTTACAGTTAGGAAGTTTCTCCTGATATTTAACCGGTAACGACTCCCTTGTAATTTCTACCCATTAGATCTAGTCTTGCAATCTGGAGCAAGAGAGAATAGATCTGCTCCATCTTCTACATGACAGCCCTTCAAATACTTGAAGACTGCTATCATGTCCCCTCTAAGTGAGAATTTGTAGAGTAACACCAATCGTTATGCCCACCTGGTCTCTTTTTCCTTTCCATCTGGCTACCAGGAATACAATGGAGGCTGTGAATCACTGTTTAGAGTCACTGATGGGCTTGGTGAGGCAAATAAACTGAAACTTAATCCAGACATAATGGAAGTACCTGTTGATTCTGAACCAATATGATACAGAGATAGGTGTACATCCTATGTCAGAAGTTATCATTAAGTCAAAGCTTGCAGTCAGGCCATGTTCCTGGGTCTACCATTATACTTGGATGTTCAGGTGATAACAGTGGACTGGTGTTGTTGTTGTTTTAACCACCTTAGTCTGTTTGCCATTGTGCCTTTTTTCCTGAAAAGGAACAGCAGTTGTATATAATTATTAATTCCAGATTAGAATTCTGTAACTAGTTCTCTGTATGAGGCCGCCCGTGGGGAATGTCTGGAATGACACAACTTGAATGGGTCATATTATGCTAGGTCATTGGGGAGGGACAGTGGCTCAGTGGTAGAGAATCTGCTTTGCATGCAGAAAGTCCCAAGTTCAATCTCTGATATCCACAGTTTTTTAAAAAAGTATCACCTGATCTGAAAGATCTCTACCTGAGACCCTGGTAGGGTTGCCAGGTCTTACCTGGCTACCGGCAGGGGGCCTCCCAGATCCTCCTTGAAGATCTTCTAGTGTGCATGCCGTGATGACGTCACCAGAAGTGACGTCATCGCGTTTCTGACATTGGGGGCAGCACTCTAGGTTTTGGGCAGCACTCTGGGTTTTTTGGCCTCAAAACCATAGAGTTTTGCCTTAAATCTACAGCATCACCCCCAACCCGGGAGTGACGTCATCATGCTATTGGTGGGGGATTCTTGGGGGTGGGGCTTTCCCGTGTCAGCCAGCTGGCCAATGGTGGATTGGGATCCCTGAAATAGGGGGATCCCCTGGCCCCACTGGGGGGATGGCAACCCTAGACCCTGGAGAGCTGCTGGGACTGAGGGTAAACAGTACGGCCCAAGATAGACCAATGATCTGTGCTAGTATAAGGCTGCTTCATTTGTTTAAATGTGGTTGTTGGTTTGTTACGAGGCCAAAGTTAAAGTTCTGTTTTTCACCTTTAAAAACCCGAATAGTTTGATTCCAGGATATTTAAAGGTCTAGCTATTAAGATATGGAACTAGATCCACAGAAAGGTCCCTTTGCGCTCCTCTCCATATCAAACTACCAATGGAAGTTTAATGGCCGGCCACATGGAATAGGGTTGTGTCACCGGTGATGCCAAGACTGTGGAACTCCATCCCCAGGACAACTGACTTTGTCCTCTCTTGATGGTATTTCAGCATCAGGCTACAGTAGTGCTATTTAGGAGAACAGTTGAACTGCCCAGTTAAGAGAGCCAGGATTACTGATTTCTCTTTGCAGAGAAATCTGATTTTGCTTGATTGATGAATTTTCCAATTTGTTTGGTTATAGATATTTTAAGATATAAGTTTATAGGGGTTTTTTTACGGTTAATGCTGTGTTCAAATCGTTTTGTTTGCTGCCCTGTGGGCTTCTATAAACTGAAAGGTGGGATAGAGCCAGTGTAGCAAAGGAGCAAGCGCGTTGCAGTAAAATCGGGAAGGTCTAGAATCAAATCTATACTTGTCAAGAAACTCACTGGGCCAGTCCCTCATTCTCACCCTCATCTACCTCTGTGAGGATAAAGTGGTGTAGCAGACAGACCCATGCATGCTTCCATTAATTCCCTGGAGGAGCTATGAGGTAAAAATGCACTAAATAAAAGAAGCTGAATGCTTTGAAAAATAAGGACTGCATTGGCTTATTATCAACCAAGGGATGTGGCGGGGGGGGTGTGTGTGGAACAGTCAGAAAATCAAGGGCAATGCTTAAACCCCCCCCCCCCCAGCTTTTTTTAGCTTTACTTCTTCAATATGTAGTTTTGTGGTTGCTTCCAGTCTGGATTTTGCAAAGACTACAGGGCACCACCTCCGCCCCGTCTGCCCGGGCACTGGAATGTTTGATTTCAGCTCTAAAATGGCATTCCTTAGAGTTGTTTGGCTGAGCTGTGAAATTTAAGTTCAACTCATCCAAGTTCCAGTCTGCTGAGCCACAGTAGAACCAGCCTGCATGTTTTTCTGAATAGGATGCTCCCCAAATAAGCGTGTAAAGAATTGGCGAAGGAATATTCTATCTAAAAGGGGGGAGGGGGGAAAGAAAGTGTATAACCAGAATAGCCTATCATTCCTTTCAGCGTTTGGTATGCTTTGTCGTCTTTTCATTCCCCCCCCCCCCCCTTTGAACCAATGTGTTCTTGTGCTAGGATTTGGATTCAACTTCTGGTGGCGACTTCCAGCCACTTCTTAAAGTCCTCTGAAAGACTGAGCGACTGGAATAATTTTTATGTGCAAACCTCTGGTTCCTGAGGGTCCAGTTCATTTCTGCTGTGAATTTAAATGAGTTAATTTAAGTGGTTGGGTCAGAAGCCGCTGTCATCGTGGTAGCCCTGTGCCTGGTTCTTAATTAAAGGCAACAGGAGATTAATTTGAAACATTAATTTAAAAGTGCCTATACAAAAGGAAAGAATTATTGCAATAAAGCCTAAAGAACTTTTTTTTGTCCCTAGATGTAGAAGACAGAACTAGCTCAGGGTCCTGGGGGAATGGAGGACATCCTAGTCCATCCAGGGTAAGTATATCTAATCTCTTTTTCCTCACCAGGCTTCCCGTGTATGTAAATTTAAAATCTAAATGTGAGTTTTACACCCGATTGCATAGGAAAATGTACATGTAAATTTGGCCACAGAGCAACCTCTTCCTAGAATTGCTTCTTATCTGATCCCATAGTTGAATTTGACACCTGCTCTATTGCTGCTAACAGGTAGCAAGAAACTTCATTAAATGTTTTGCCGTGCTTGTTGCTATCAGCCCTGGATCCATTACCCTGTGGTATCTCTGGACTGTAAGCTGTGTTTTTAGTTGCTGTTGACTTTTCATTTCCTATAGACATCTTTCCAGATGTTTTCACTTAACAGCCACAGTATATGTAATATGAAGTTCAGGCGTTTTTGCACTCTAGGAAATCTGCCAGGTTAGTACTTTGGCTTATTTTTTTGCCACTGTTATTATCATTATATGTTTCTTAACATTGCTGTTAAGCATATATAGAAATATATCAAACATTGTCATCATATACTGCAGAGAAATTAGTAAGGTACAAAGATACACGTACCAAAGTCATTAAAAAAAAGTTTCAGAGGGTAGTCATGTTGGTCTACAGTTAGATTCTAGTCCAGTAGCACTTTAAGAGACCAACAAAATTTTCGGGATATGAGCTTTTGAGAATCAAAGCTCCCTTTGTCAGCGACAATAATATCTGATTAATTATCATATGAAATTGTGTGTAGTATAGCCAGGAGATCCTAAGATTGTCTGGCAGCCTTAAGTTTTAGCTCTTTTTTTGGAGAGCTAGATTTATTCGGGCTGAGAGAGTTCTGAAAGAGCTGTGACTGACCCAAGGTCACCCAGCTGGCTTCATGTGGAGGAGTGGGGAATTGAACCTGGTACTCCAGATTAGAGTCTGCCGCTCTTAGCCACTACACCAGACTGGATCTCAGTATCTGACAAAGAGAGCTTTGAATCCCTTTTACCGTAAAAATCTTGTTGATTTCTACGGCGCTACTGGACTCAATTTAGCAGAGTTTGGTGTGTGTGTGTGTGTGTGTGTGTTTTTAAAAAACAGCTACATGGCCCATGATCATTTCTGTACATCATGAGAATATTCAAAGGACTCCAACAGGAGTAGTCATTACCTATTTTGTTTCCACCATACAAAAGACAATCATGGGTCCCTGCCACACGGCAGGAAAAACACCGGCCAAAGTGCGGCTAATTAGAGCCGCACCAAAATAGAGACGCCGCGGCGGGATCCCCTGAGCTGCGGCGCCGTTGCTCCCCGGCACGATCAGATGTTAAGTGGGTTTGTGGGGTACCTAACATGATTATAATGGGTTGCATTTGTTCTTGCAGTTACTTATATAGTTATATTTGTATATTTTGGGTTCATACTCAAATCTGTATTCGGTTGGATGATCACTTAGGATGAGTTGCTGAGGTAAATGAGATGATAGTAGTGATGATGATGATACTTAGGATATCTTAGAGCAGGGGTGTCAAACTCATTTGTTACAAGGGCCGGATCTGACATAAATGTCACTTTGTCAGGCCGGGCCGTGTGGGCCATAAAATGTAATGCCAGGTACTGGAGATAGCTACTGTATAAGGGACAGCAGCTGGTGAGTTAGTGTATTCTCACTGCAAGTCCCCATGGGCTGGGAGGGAGGTGCAGAGGAAAATCGACATAGGCAGACTGGAGAGGCAGCAGTGCAGCACTGGGCAGATGCTCCCACGATGCTTGGCTGCTGCAGATGAGGTTGTTCTGCCATGCTGAAGCCACAATGGAGTGTCTCTGCTCACTCCCTCCCTCCCCAGCACGTCCTCCCTTGCATCAGTGGCTTGCGGGCCACATAAGAGCCCTGGATGGGCCAGATCTGGCCCCCGGGCCTTATGTTTGACATCCCTGCCTTAGAGAGTTGAGGCATCCACAGTCTTTTGACACTATGCTCCTAACGGTGGACTTCAAAGCATACTTGGATTTTCCTGCTTAAACAGCCACAAGCCAATTGCTTCAACTGTCAAGTCTGAGATCGAAGTGCATTATGTGGGTGAACTGAAGCTGCTCCTCAGATGTCTCCTGTTACAGTGCTCACACATTTCTTCCTATTGATAGTAAGCAACAGACGTATTAGTAGTAAAATCGCTGATATTTGTGACAGCTGGAGATTAGAATTATAGACCTAAAAGTTTTGGATATTTGGAGGCCATGGGGAAAACAAACATGCAGGTTTCCTTTCCTTTCCTTCCCTTTGGGGAAAAAAATGTGGGGAAAATGAAATATATGCAATACTGTCTTATCAAACCTAAATTTTCCTGCTTTAACATTTAGAACATAGAGTCTAAAATTGTGCTGTGTGGCATATGTATACAATTTAAAAGCATAAATGCCTTACAGAGCAATCCTAAGTAGAATTACACCCTTCTAGGTCCCTTTGCTTCAATGGACATAGTAAGGTTAAACCTTGTTCTACAAACAAAATTACAAATGCACCCAGCACTAACGAGAGGGAGTTACACACCGCTACCTGTGCTACCTTACAACAAGCACCTTAGTTGTTGTTTTTTGCCCTGTGAGAGGCAGGAAAAATGTTAAAATTAGAAGAAGAAGGAAAAAAAAGTGTATTATTTGGCCAGAAACAGTCCCATGCAATTACAGTAAGACTAGCAACATATTGGGCTGTTAGCATTAAAATTTATTACACCGAAAACATCAAACTCTTCAATAGAGTATTATCATACATATAATAGCAAATTATTTGTGGACAGAATAAATGCAGTTGCCGTGAAACAGTTTACCTTAAAACCATAGACAAGCTTATGTGTTTCAAGTGCCATCAAGCTGTTTCTGACTTACTATGAATTAATGACCTCCAAAATGCCCTATTCTTAACACCTTTGCCCGGTCAGATCTTGCAAAGTGAGGGGAGTCTCTTCCTTTAGAGGGTCAATCCCATCTCATTTTGGGCCTTCCTCTTTTCCTGCCGCCTTCAGGTAAAACTTATCAGAGCAAAAGTATAATAAGCTGTGCTTACAACTGACAGATTGCATAGTTAATTGGTACATCAAGGCTGTGAAGTAATAAGGGGAAAGTCAGTTTCCACTGAGCCAGAATTGCCTAGAGTAAGCTTGCTTGGAAGTTCCTATAAATAAAATACGTAATTTTAACATTTAGTATTTATCATTATTGGGTCCATACCTATAACAAATGACAGTGTGAAAGATTTGAAAATCCGTATCACAGTTACACACACATGCACACGCACACACAGAGAGAGCATAATACCAAATTGGTAGGTAACACAACAATAGGCACAAATGGACAGACCACAATTCTGCAAATGTTCTAAGTTTCATGGTTAAATGGAATTTACACACAGAAAGCATTAAGCCGCGTAGTTCGAGTTGTTCTGTGGTGACGGTGCAAAAGACCCATATTTTTCTTTGCTGTTCTTCTGAGCTTGTTGAGATAGTCTAGTTGACAGCTGTGTGAAACAAGACAGAATCTTGTTCTGATTGAGGCTGCCTTGAAAAAAGGCTGAGAGGTCATGAAATAAATAATCTTTCCAAGAAATTGCATAAATAAAAATGTTTTTAAAAACTATAATGTTTTTCTACTCATAATATATTGGGAAAATATCTCTGTGATGTACTTTAATGCACTTTTTATACTTACTTTCCCCCCCCTAATTCATTAACAGAACTATGGAGATGGAACTCCGTATGAACATATGACAAACAGGGACCTTGGATCACATGACAATCTATCGCCTCCTTTTGTGAATTCCAGAATACAAAGTAAGAAGACCTTATAGTTCTTATTTGGATTGTGTGTTGAGTTCTGGTTGATTTTCAAATGAGAAGAAAGCAGAGTATTCTACTTTCCCCCCAGTTTTGTTAACTAAATGTTCATATATTTTCTTCGGTAGTTTGATTGTGTGAGAAACCGAATTTGAGTCTTTTCTGCAGCATCACTGAAATACCCCAAGCATTGCTAATTATATGTGTAGAATATATTGCAATTTCCATAATCGTTTTTTTCTTAGCGAAAGTAGTATCAGGTATCATCTTCAGATGCATGATCTGCTAGTATAGAAATAGTAAGTGAATAATTGGAAGAGCAAAAAGTGCAGAACTGATTGCACAGGGGTACTTATTTCAGCTGCCCAATGGCAGAAGGTTAGCTATCAGTAATCTGAAATGGGTTTCTTTGTATAACAGTGTGAATTCACCTCTAGGGACTTGCAGTCTTTGGGCTGTAAACTTCTACATTAAGGCTGACCGTGTCTGCAGCACGCTCTGCTTCTGACAGCCAGTGGTATTTGCCAAGTGTGTGTCCTCACAGTTGGATAAAGCACTAGGTCACTATCTTTCTGACTTGCGGGGATCTATTTCAGCAGCCATAACTCTGGCTGTCAGAAGAAAGTCTTTAATTACTTGCAAGTGTAGATAGCAACTTCTCTTTAATCGCGGTTGATAAATGAGTTTGGTTAAGATAAATATATGATGTAAAAAAAAATATTACTAATCCCCTTCCCTCGCCAAGATCACTCCCTACTACGTGCGCTCGTCAATGGACTGACTGAGATTCCTCAGTTTAAAGCAACTGAACCTGGGCCAATGAAAGCACTGAGTTGTGACTGTGATATATCATTCTGAGAGTAATGTACGTCCCCTGAAATATTCCTTGTCTTTTATTATGAGGAAATATTTGTGAGTTGTTTAACATGTGGGGCAGTGCTGAAGCTTGCAGCAATGCGTATGTAGTCACACACACGCACGTAGTTACATTAGTTTCAAGGGGCTGGCTTGCGCCAACAAAAGCAAGGAAATTCTGACCCTCCCTTCTTAACTCATACTATATTAGGGTTGACTCCCGGCAATGTAAATACAAACTTTCTGCGTGTCCATGGCCTTCTGTGAAACCCACTGCGCCAAGTGATGCTTTCAGCTCTGACCTTTCCACTTGGATTTTTGCAACGTAAAAGTTTGTTTCTTTTGTCTCCCTTTATTTTGGCTTCCTTTAACAAAGAACGTTTTAGCCCCTTAAGTAATCTTCGCCAAGAAAATTGTGCTTTCCATGGTTTAACAGTATATTTGTTTTGATGGGAGGGGGAAAGTATTTTTACAAGCACCTTTTGAAGCAGTGAACAAACATGTTCTGATTAGAAATGCTGGGAAAAACAACACTTGTGTTTATTGAAGTATTGGAGGAAGCTTGATTTTCAAACCTAAACAGATAATGGCCCTTTTGTATTTGCTGAAAAGTCACTGGAATTCTTGCTTGTCTACACCGTTAGGAATGCTAGGTTGAAAAGGCTTGTGTGTTTTGAATACGCATACTCCAGTCTGAGTGCTCCAAAAACATTTCAAGAATTGAAATCCTAAGTGGAGGTAAACCCTGTAAAGTCCATTAACATTAATGGACTTAGAAGGATGTAAAACTGTTTAGGATTTCATTATGAGAGTACCGATCTTCTGTGTGCTTGAGTGTTTGTGAGAGAGAAGCTAACAGCTTCTGACAAGTGTGTTATTGTGTAATAAGCCATGCCTGCCATTGGAAGCAATGATCTAGCCCCTGCAATCTACAGCATTTTGTTACCTTAATTTAAAATGTACTTTGGTAATTAGAGCAGATTCTCTTTTAATTCACATCTGTTTAGGTGGCACAGTTCACTAGAATCCACTTTGTTCAATTTCCCCATTCCTTTGGCACTTCGCTGGACCCTGAGTCTAGGCTGCAGAAGGTGGGCAAAGGGGATAAGAAGAGGGGAAGATCTCACAAGGGAATTCTCAGCTCCTCTTGTGTCTCTGAAAATGAAATATAAATTTGTTTGTTAAAAGGTCTAGGTAGCTCTTCCTGGTCCTTCTTCCCCGGCAACTCTGCCTTTTTTGTGTGTGGATAGTAGATCCGACTTAGAAACGAATCCTGGGAACACTTCAGTCAGAGCAAAATTCTCCTCAGCTTTTCCTTCCCCAGAACGAAAAGTGAGCCTCCTGTTTAACTGTGGGAGGCAAGGCCATCGCCTGCTCTGTACCAGGGAACACTGCTCTATCTGTGCACCTGGCCCTAATGAAAGTGCCGGTCTGTCAGATAAGCTGCCTTGTCTGAAACATGGTATTTGAGTGTTTATGGAACGCTACATTTTCCAACTTGGGCATTTTTTTTGAACTGAGAAGGCCTGTGTTACTGGCTAGACAGTTTACCTGATTGTAACAAAATTGTCTGTGAGATGAAGTTGGTGAGTGAGAAGGCAGAGCTCCCAAGCCTGGCTTCTAGAAAGATGGCTTTTAGACAAGGCAGGGAGAAATCCTTTGATCAGGGAAAACTCTTCAGGCATGGCATTTCAAGGGCATGCAGTTTTAAGGAGTGTGATGTGACCTGGACATAGAGTGCTAAGAAGCCTGGATACCTGCATCGTGTTTCTATATATCTGAGAATGTTTTATGCTGCTGCAGTAGCAGCTAGGATTAAAATCATGGCAATTGTGAGAACCGTCCGCTCAGATATTTAAAATGGAACAATAAAAGTTGATGGAGAAAATGGCTGCTTTAAAGGGTGGACTCTATGGCATTGTACCATGCTGAGGCCCCTCCCCTCCCCTCCCCAAACCCCACCCTCTCCTGGATCCACCCCCAAAGTCTCCAGGTATTTTTCAACCCCGACCCGGCCACCCTACTACTCATTTTCTAAAAACACTTGGTGGTCACCAGCAATGTTCCCTCTAAGCTGTGGAGTCTTGTGAGCAAAAGTTCTGCTTTGTGAGCTGCTGGCATTAAAGTTGTGAGCAAGCAGTTTGGCTGCTGCATGAATTAGTTTGCTCTGGAGCCCTCCTTCCTGAGCTAAGACAAGAATGTGTGATCCAGCGGCTAAAAAACTATGAGCTAACTCACACTAACTCAGCTTAGAGGGAACACTGGTCACCAGGAAAGGTAAGAAACAAGCCTGATAAAGGGCCAATATTAAAAACCTAGTGTATGATTATTATATACAAGGATACATGTATTTTTTTAGAAAAGCAGCTAAAAACATAAGGGCCCAGTGAAAGCCTCGTTATAAAGTACAAGTGACTTGAACATGGGCCAATACAAGTGACGTTTCTGCCCCTTGGAGGCCTTCTTCAGAGTCCAAACAATTTGAGGTACAGATTTTTACAAATGCTACATGTTACAATGAAATAACAAACGATAAGTTGATACTCGACCCTAAAAGGAATGCTCTCGCAAAAAAAAGATGATTAAATATCAATAATCATATAAAATAATAAATTTTACTTGCAATGTGGTAAAAATGGATTTTTGTATACAGTAATTATGTACTAGGTTTTTAATATTGGCCCTTTATCAGCCTTCGTTCTTACCCTTGTGGTTCTTGATTCCAGGTACTGGGGTCAGGTTTGTTCCCCCCTCCCTGAGTCTTACCACCAGGAAAGGCGTCAGCAGGCACTGTGGCACACAAGGGTACTATGCGGG